AACCTGTGGTAGAACACAAAGTATTTTTCTAAGTTTTTCATCACTAATTTTAATATCCTTATAAGTTCTGTAAGAATTGTGATTGCTTGTTCTCTGGTTATATTTTTCTACTTTTTTGCATGCCTGGTAATTTTTTTGTTACATACCAGAGATAATTCCTTTTACCTCATCATCGTGCTTGATAATCTTTGCATTCTTGTCAACATTCTTAAGATTTATTCTGATGCAGTTAAATTACTTGGAAACATTTTGGGGGTCTTGTTTTTCATATTACTAGGCAGGGCCAGATCAGTGTTAATGCAGAGCTAGTTATTTCCGATTATCAAGGCGAGAGCCTCTGGGTACCCTGATGCTCTGTGAATGACGAGATCCGCAGGCTGGCTGGTGGAAATGGTCTCTCATCCCTCAGAACGTTGTCCCAGGCCTTGCACAGTGTTTGCACACTCCTGCATGGATCAGCACGCTGCTGAGGACTCTGAGGGGGGTAGATCCCCTGGATTCTCCTTTTGCACAGATCGTTTGTCTTACCTACTCTGCATAGCGATCTTCAGCTCCATTGTTTCCCTGCCTTCCTGGCTCTCATTTATTAAGACTGGAGCACCCTGCCTAGGCCCCCCTCAGGAGGCAGTAAGCCCAGTCAGTTATAGGGGCCTCTCACTGGCTTCTGCCTCGCAAAGATCAGTGTTCTCAATGCATGATCTCCAGTATCTTCAAGAGCATTGCTTTACATATCTTGTCCAGCGTTTTAATTGTTTCAGGAGGAGGGTAAATCCAACCCTGTTTCCCTAACTAGACCAGATGCAAAATCCTTCTATTATGTAGCTCAGCCTATTTAATACCTAAACCGTAAAGACAAAAGTAACATCTGAAAACTGATAAAAACTGAAATAAATTAGCATAATTACACATCACATTAATGTCACACCACACAAAAAAATAATTATCCCAAGTCATTTCAGAGCACACAATTTTGTCTCTGTTTCCTTCCTGGTGTATGATTTAAGGATGCATATGGGTGCAAGAGAATCTGAGACTTTATTTAGAAGTATAATTTTAATGGTAATAGTGATAAGGTTATCTTAATCTCTATATATAATAGCATAAAGTAAATAATAAATTGTGCTAATATGATTAAGGCTGAAATTTTTTCCATATGAGAAAATAAAAATATAATATTAAAAGAAACACTGTTAATATTGACTTATAAATATAAATACAAATTCCTAATTAATTTTCTTTTCAAACATACTTGCCTCCTAGTTTTGTGCATTGAAATGGGCCAGAAGAAATGACAGCTTAAGTGTAATTGACATACCAAGGGTACAGATTTTGGAGATCAAAGGACCATTTCCCTTGAAAATAACCCAGACTCTTTGGAGGAACGGCTGATTTCTCCAGGTTTGACCTAGTGAAATACAAAATGAAGCTGGTCCTCTTATTGTGACCTAAAGCAAGCAAACTTAGAAATGGAATATGTGAGTAAGTAATCTGGGGTCTCCCACCAAAGACAGGATAATTTCAGCATCAATAAGAATACTTAATACAACACAGTACACAAAAACTTGTGAGTTCCTCATGAAAAAGAAAGAAAATAAAAGCAAAACCAAAGCCATCTCACTAGTCCAAGTGATCAGTTTCAGTTCACAGTTGATCACACTGATAGGTCTAAGAGTCAAAGGGATCACATAAACAAGACTAGTGTCTGCAAATACTAACTGATAGAATAAAAAAGGAGAGAATGATGCAACATGGGAAGTGAGATACACAGCAGACCCATAGAATGGCAGATGTCCTAAACAGCACTCTGGCCTCAGAATCAGCCCTTAAGGCATTCGGATCTGACTGAAGAGCCCATGAGAGTATTTTAGGCATGGAAAGCCAAAACACTCTGGCAAAAAAGAAAAGAGGACCTAAATGAAATATCTCTGTGAGTGAGATCCCAGTGGAAAGAACAGGCCATCAAAGAAGGAGGTACCTTTCTCTGAAGGGAGGAGAGAACTTCCACTTTGACTATGACTTTGTCTAAATAAGGTTGGAGTTGGCAAACTCAAAAGGCTTCCATAGCCTTGGCAGCTCATGACAAGAGCCTAGGGTGATTACTGAGGCCATAAACAAGAGTGTCAATTTGTTAAGTCAACAACAGGAGTCACTGTGCACTTACTTACTCCTCATGTAGGATCTCTGTCCTTAATGTGTTGTTCAATGTGAATTAATGCCATAACTAGTACTCAAACAGTACTTTACACTTTGTGTTTCTGTGTGTGGGTGTAAACTGTTGAAATCTTTACTTAGTATATACTAAATCGATCTTCTGTATATAAAGATAATTGAAAATGAATTTTGATGTGAATGGAATGAGAGAGGGAGTGGGAGATGGGAGGGGTGCGGGTGGGAGGGAAGTTATGGGGGGGGAAAGCCATTGTAATTCATAAGCTGTACTTTGGAAATTTATATTTATTACATAAAAGTTTAAAAAACATAAATACAGCTTTATTGTGTACCAATGAGAAAATGGAACACCAATGTATTCGAAAATAGCTCTAAAAGGAAAGAATTCAGCCGTTTACCCTACCTTTCCAAATTAGCTATATTCCTAAAGTTCCAGGAGAAGGCAAGCTGTTTTCCACAGTCATCTCCCAGCGAGCTCTCAGTCCTCTGCCCTCTGAAACTGGGAAGCATAAATAACAAGTAGGATTGTGCTTTTATCAAAAGACAAGTATAAGTGTGGACAGAGTAAAACCAGACGGGAGTTTTTGCTTGTTTATTCTTATATAAATACCACACGTTAATGTCCCACTGTGTTTTTTTTTTTTTTTTGACAGGAAGAGTGGACAGTGAGAAAGAGAAAAACAGAGAGAAAGGTCTTCCTTTTGCCGTTGGTTCACCTCCCCCAATGTCCGCTGCAGCTGGCATACTGCGCTGATCCGAAGCCAGGAGCCAGGTGCTTCTCCTGGTCTCCCATGTGGGTACAGGGCCCAAGAACCTGGGCCATTCTCCACTGAACCCCCATGCCACAGCAGAGAGCTGGCCTGGAAGAGGAGCAACCGGGACAGAATCTGGCGCCCCGACCGAGACTAGAACCCAGGGTGCCGGCGCTGGAGGCAGAGGATTAGCCTATTGAGCCGCAGCGCCGGCCATGTCCCACTGTTAAGAGGAAGATACAACTCCAGCAAATGGGCAAGGCTCTTTAAACCTAAGAGCCTGATCTCTCCTTTATGGTACAGTATCCATTTGTGGAAAATTATGCTAGCTACCAGTGCATCATTGGGGAATAAGTATGGTGGTGTATTTTATCATATTGAAACAATACAATGAAAAATAAAAAAAATTTGTAGACTCTGAGTATATGTATAAACATTTCCCGATGGGCTTAGAGGCAATGGTGGCCTCAGGCTATGTGCTAACCCAAGAAGATGACATGTATATGCATGTAGCACAAGGTAAAAACAAAGAGAGTAAAGAGTAAAAATATTCTTAACACATACCTCAGCAAAATTCGATGTAAAATAAAACAACATTCTATGTAAAATAAAAATCAGACATGGCAAAAAGTAAAGAGTTAAAATTTTAGAAAATTAGAAGCAAAATTTTTTTTTAACTTTTATTTAATGAATATAAATTTCCAAAGTACAGCTTATGGATTACAATGGCTTCCCCCCATAACATCCCTCCCACCCGCAACCCTCCCCTTTCCCACTCCCTCTCCCCTTCCATTCACATCATGATTAATTTTTGATTCTCTTTATATACAGAAGATCAGTTTAGCATACATTAAGTAAATATTTCAACAGTTTGCTCCCACACAGAAACATAAAGTGAAAAATACTGTTTGAGTACTAGTTATAGCATTAAATCTCAATGTACAGCACACTAAGGACAGAGATCCTACATGAGGAGTATGTGCACAGTGACTCCTGTTGTTGACTTAACAAATTGACACTCTTGTTTATGGCCTCAGTAATCACCCTAGGCTCTTGTCATGAGCTGCCAAGGCTATGGAAGCCCCCTGAGTTCACCGACTCTGATCATATTTAGACAAGGCCATGGTCAAAGTGGAAGTTCTCTCCTCCCTTCAGAGAAAGGTACCTCCTTCTTTGATGACCCGTTCTTTCCACTGGGATCTCACTTACGGAGATCTTTCATTTAGGTTTTTTTTTTTTTTCCCCAGAGTGTCTTGGCTTTCCATGCCTGCAATACTCTCATGGGCTTTTCAGCCGGATCTGCATGCCTTAAGGGCTGATTCTGAGGCCAGAGTGCTGTTTAGGACATCTGCCATTCTATGGGTCTGCTGTGTATCTCACTTCCCATGTTGGATCGTCTCTCTCTTTTTTATTCTATCAGCTAGTATTTGCAGACACTATTCTTGTTTATGTGATCCCTTTGGTTCTTAGTCCTATCCTTATGATCAATTGTGAACAGAAATTGATCACTGGGACTAGTGAGATGGCATTGGTACATGCCACCTTGATGGGATTGAATTGGAATCCCCTGGTATGTTTCTAATTCTACCGTTTGAGGTAAGTCAGCTTGAGTATGTCCCGAATTGCACATCTCTTCCCTCTCTTATTCCCACTCTTATATTTAACAGTGATCACTTTTCAGTTAAGTTTCAGCACTTAAGAATAATTGTGTATTGATTACAGTATTCAACCAAAAGTATTAAGTAGAACAAACAAAAAAAAATACTAAGAGGGATAACATATTAAGTTGCTCATCAACAGTCAGGGCGAGGGCTGATCAAGTCACCGTTTCTCATAGTGTTCATTTCACTTTAACAGGTTTCCTTTTTGGTGCTCAGTTAGTTGTCACCTATCAGGGAGAACAAGTGGTATTTGTCTCTTTGGGAGCAAAATATTAAACCACAGAACTTTTTGTAGAAACTTACTTGAGATACAGCAATATATTTCAGTGTTTTGAGCCAGCTATTGTGGGACGGCAGCAACAGAGGACTAGCCACGTGACTAGTTTGGGCAAGTTACCCAACTTTTCTGGGCATCAGTTAACTCACCTGTGATATGATGTCGATGCTGTGGCGTAGCAGGTTAAGCTTCTGCCTGAAGGGTCAGCGTCCCTAATGGGCACCAGTTCCAGCGGCTCCACTTCCAATCCAGCTTCCCGCTAATGAGCCTGGGGGAGCAACAGAAGATGGGCCAATGCTTGGGACTCTGCACCCACATGGGAGACCTGGAAGAAGCTCTGAGCTCCTAACTTCAGCTGGCCCAGCCCCAGCCATGGCAGTCATCTGGGGAGTGAACCAGTGCATGGAATACCTCTCTCTCTCTCTCTCTCTCTCTCTCTAACTTTGACATTCAAATAAATAAATACATTTTTTAAAAAGCTCTTGGAAAAAGGAAAACCTAAAGACAAGTTTTGTTGGTGCCAAAAATTTGGAAACCCATGCACAGGCTTTCATGACATGCATTTTCATGGATTTTTTTGAAGACCTCCCATATGGGGTCGTCAGTTGCACCGACAACAAGAGTTTATTGGCAAGACTTAATGAACTGTTGCATGTAAGTACTTCAATTAAAGACTGCCTCATATTAAGCTTTTTAAAATGTTAGGGGATTCTTCCTTTGACTTAAGCTTTGTATAACCCCAACAACTTGGAGACATACGTGGGTGAAGGTATTACACATGGTCCATACACACCCTAAGGGCTACAGTATTAAAAACAGTCTTGGGAAGGAAAAGAGTTGGGAAGAGGGTGACAGGGAAGGGTGAGATTGGGGTAGGGCAAAGTCAGGGGGTGTTTTAGTTTCGATGGCAAAAATGGCCTTTTTTTTGTCAAGTTGCCAAGAGCCATTCTAGCTTCTAGTTGTGTGAGACACTGTTCTATAGTGATGTTAACAGTGAACAGGATGCAGCCCCTGGAGCTACCTAGATTACTGCTCTGCTAATTGGAATGACGAAGTCTTCCTTCTGTCTTACTCATCTGTGGGTCTTACAGTTCCTCTTGTTTAAAAATTACTCTCCTGCCTGCCTCTCATTTTCTGAGGAGAAGGTCAGGTTCCCTTTAATGCCGCATTTCCTGTTTAATTTACTGCTCACGCTCCTCCTGCCTGATTTGCTCTGGATGGTAGAATAGAAGGCATCGTTCTTTGAGGTTTTCAGGTTTACCAATTGGAATCGTGGAAATTCCTCAAAACAGGACTGCTGAAGCATGATGGGGATCGCTGGTCCTAGTGATGATCCTAACAGAGAACGTTGCTAGTTCCGAAAAGGAGCTTATACAACAGAGACGATAGCTCACAGATGGGCAGGGCAGGAGACCAGGCCAGTCCTGGTGAGACGGACAGCACCATCTGTCACGTCTGCAGTCCCCGTGACTTGGCGTGAGGACCCGTGAGGACTGGGGGAAGTCATCTTCCTAATGCAAGTCACTTTTAAAGAAATCCTACTTAGACGTCTTCTACCAAGGAGATGAGATACGGCTCCTTCTGTCGTCAAGCAAGGGAGAAGGAGCCCAAATCCTTATTGGCTAATCATTTCTAACTGAAAAGTCTGTGTAACAAATCAGCCAAGAATCAAGTTGAGGATAGCGACAGAAGCAAGGTCACTGGCATTATTACAAGCAGGTCTAGACTGATGTAGTCGTCTATGACAGAGTGGCCGGGTGGCTGGATTGAGGAGAAAGAAGGGATTTGACCTCTCACGAGTTTAGCAGGTGCACATCTGTGGACCCTCACGAATAAGCTTGGCTTGCCGCGCTCTGTTGGTACTCTCCCGGCCGAGCTTTGACGCAGGTTCCGGTTGTCCCCATGGCTCCCAGAGAGGCTAGTTCCTTTCTTCATGAAGCCAGATGTTGAGTCCAAGAGTGTTAGACATGTGATCAAGATGGGCCCTTTGCCGGGAGACTCCTGCTCTACCTCACTTCCTTGGAGAAGGATGTTTTATTCGTTCTTCCCGTTCCGTCGGCTGCCTCCTGAGCTGTCATCCACTGTCTTGTGCAGCTTCCTTCAGACGCCTATACTCAGTCAGACACCGATTCTCTCCTGACCTTATCAACTGCTTAACAATCATACCATGTGGAGGGAGATAATGAAAGTGTCAGCTTTGGTTACTGGTCCTGTATTGGTGGATGGATTCTGCAGAGATGGTTTAATAAAAAGACTTGAAAATGTTTTAGGTGGTGTGGAAACAAATTAACATGGAGCAAATGGTGCCGTGAAGTATATGTTGAGTAGAGGCAGCACAGATTTGTTGTGATTAAGAACATGGATTCTAGAATCTGCTTGTTTGGGTTTGAATCCTAATAATAGGCTACTAGCTGTGTGTCTCTGGAAAACTAACTTCTCTGTGCCACAATTTCCTAACCTACACTCTGTTTTCATTGTTTACTCCATAGCTGCCTTAAATAGAGCCTATGTCAGTTTCACCTGACAAATGTTGAGTGCTTTTTGAATGAGAGAATGAGAGGACAAAAGAACAAAACTATAAGCTTCAGTCCCAGTTGGGATACTCCATTACAAAATATTTAAATTGGCTGAGTTGGATGGTCCTTTGCCTACATAATGAACTAATCAAGATTTATGCATTAATACCCAAAGTTAGTGTCACTTGTAACATTATTTCAATAGATTTTTTTTTTTTTTTTGGAAGAAACATCGAGAACTCAATTTGTTCCTAGTTTTATAAGAGGCTTGGTAATGGACAGTCAATTCTCAATCAGGTTCTATGTGTCACGCGGAACAGGGATGCACAGCCCCACGGGAAGTCGTGTTTAGGCCTTCCCTCCCATTTACAATTAATGGGAATTAACCATGAAAAGCAGTTTTCACTGAGTAACTCGTCCTAGTTATGCCTATTTGTATGCCCTTTTATTTTTTCTGGTAGACAAGAAGTACCACTTTAATAAATGCAAGCTAACATGCACTCCTGCAGGTTTGCAATGAAGAAGCCTGAGGTGCATTAGGGAGACTTTGGGGTTCTTGTAGTCGCTGAATTTTACAAACTTGGTAACAGGCTTTGCCTGTACACCTCCTGGCACCCTGCCCTGATGGTAGGACTCATGCAGCCGCCTCCCAGCAAGGCCAAACCAGCCCCACTCAGTTATATTAGGGTCTTCATTCCCAGGAAGAGAAACACACAGGGGTCAGGAGCTAACAAAGAACGTGATGCGAGGTTTCCTCAATCTGGTGTGGTTTCACCATCTACCATGTTCACTGAGTCTGTCTCAGCGGCTGTCACAAAATACCAAGGCTGGGTGGCTTATAAATAACAGAAATCAATTCCTCATGGTACCAGAAACAAGGCCAAGCACGGTACCAGCAGATGGGTGTGCGGTGAGAGCCTTGTCTCTGTCCATGGATGGCCATGCACTGTGACACCCCACCTGGCAGAGGGGGTGAGTTGGCTTTGCAGGATCGCTTCTAAGGGTGCAGAACCCATTGAGGAGGGCTCCCGAATCCCATTCAGAACGGCTCTGCCACCATGACCTAATCAGCCCTCAGGAGCTCCCCTCCCCACTGATCTCAAGTGCTGCTAGAATAATAACCCTAGAAAGTACTAGAAATGTCATAAGAAGTGAAACGCGATCTCTCAAACAAATGTTTGCAGAATCAGTGAAGGGAGAGATTGAAATCAGCATCTGGAAGCATCAGGCTTTTTATTTCTTCACTGACCTTCAACCTCTGCCTCGTCAGCTTCGCAGGCATCCAGGGGGAGTCTAACCTCTCTCGGGAAGTCACTCTGCTCAGGGTGAACCTGTAACAGTTGAGAGGGACCAAAGGTAATGGGACTTTCTGGGGCTGTGAGGGTTCCCAAAACAGGTCAGAGGTCAGTGGGAAGGGCCCAGCTGAAGCAGAGGCAGCAGTAGGAAGCAGGGTTGGGACATGGTGGATTTGGGTTGGAAGGAAGGGCAGACAGGAAGTGAGAGGGTTCTGGGACCCAGCTTCAGGCTTGGAGGTGAAAGGTGATGCCCAGTTTGGAAACTCTTAATTCTGTGCCACACCGGACTCTGTTCTTAACACAGGGCATGCTACATTACAGCATATTAGCTTTTAATTTTGAGAACAGGCCAGCGCTGCGGCTCACTAGGCTAATCCTCCGCCTTGCGGCGCTGGCACACTGGGTTCTAGTCTCGGTCAGGGCGCCGGATTCTGTCCCGGTTGCCCCTCTTCCAGGCCAGCTCTCTGCTGTGGCCAGGGAGTGCAGTGGAGGATGGCCCAAGTGCTTGGGCCCTGCACCGCATGGGAGACCAGGAGAAGCACCTGGCTCCTGCCTTCAGATCAGCGCGGTGTGCCGGCCGCAGCGCGCCAGCCGTGGCGGCCATTGGAGGGTGAACCAACGGCAAAGGAAGACCTTTCTCTCTGTCTCTCTCACTGTCCACTCTACCTGTCAAAAAATAATAATAATAAAAATAATTTTGAGAACCACACAAAAAAAGATTGGGAAAAAATGAATATTTTCCAAGTATGTTCTCCAGAAATGGTATATATTCAATTCTGATGCATCTGGTCTTTCAGCTATAGCTTAAAGGACCGAGAATGTGGAGTGTGCAAATCCCCTGTGGAATGCTTTTATCGGGCAAATCCGATCACCACAGGTCTGCTTCTGTGTAACCCTGACGACGCTCGTGTGGAGCTGGAACACCCACACGTGACATGTGAGAGTTCTGTATAAATTTCATGCAACACCTGTCAAGTAGGAAGTACAGTAGAGCAATTACGTGAGAAGGGCTGCACTACTCTGTTACTAACTAAAGGGCCTTGGGAAGCTACTTAACCTCTTAACCCCTCCACCCCCACCCCCTGCAATAAAACTATGATGGAGGCCTGGGCCTTTGCTGCGGGGGTTAAGACGCTGCTTGCCACACCCAAGTCCCTAACAGAGTGCCTGGGTTTCGGTCCCAGCTCCACTCCTGATTCCAGCTTTCTGCTAATGGGCAGCCTGGAAGGCCACAGGTGATGGCTCAAGTGTTTGGACACCTGCCACTCTCCTGGGAGAGCTGAATGGAGTTCTTGGCTCATGAGCATTTGGGGAAGGAACCAGCAGATGGAAGCTCCCTGTCTGTCTCTGACTCTATCTCTCTGTCTCTCTGCCTCTCAAATAACATAAGAAAATACCGAGGTTTGGAAATTTGAAAGATGAGTTTTCAAAAAAAGGTACAGGGGCCGACACTGTGGCAGAGTGGGCTAAGCTGCCACCTGCATGGCAGCATCTCATATGGGCACTGGGTCGAGCCCTGGCTGCTCCACTTCCAATCCAGCCTCCTGCTAATGCTCCGGGGAAAGTAGAGGAAGGTGGCTCAAGTGCTTGGGCCCCTAACATCCATGTGGAAAACCCAGACGGAGCTCCTGGCTCGTGGCTTTGGCTTGGCTCCATCTTGGCTGTTATGGGCTTTTTGGGAGTCAATTAGCAGGTGGAAGATCTCTTTGTCTATTCCCTCTCTCTCTCCCTCCCTCCCTGTAACTCTGCTTTCAAATAATTAAATCAATTTATTTTTAAAAATCAAGGTACAGTGGAGACAAGATCATTACCTCCTATGAGAGTGGTTGTGGAGATAAAATGAAATAAACTTTCTCAAAGTGGTTAGGAATGGACCCTGGCAAGAGTAAGTTCTCAGTAAATGTAACCGTTGGTAACAGGGATTAACGGAGGGCAGGATATGTTAAAATGTGTATTTCTATACCTATATTTTATAAACTATATATCATCACGTATATAATATATATCTACGACAAAAGTTTAACAGGTCATGGCGATGTTTTAAAAATAGCATATAATGGTGCAGAAGAGGGTGGAAGAAGTAAATGTCTCTCATGAAAACATCTGATTTCTGTGCCTTCCAAAAGAGACGAGTTGAAGACTATGCCTTGTAGTCCTAATCAGGACAAAAAGTGCTGAAGTCTGAAAATTAAAGCCAATGCACACATTTGAAGGCACAGGAGGACTTCCTTTGCCTTCCAGGGATTTATAGGACACCTGTTGAAATGGGGAGAAACAAAAGGCTTTCTAAGTTGCTCGGCTGGTAAAGGCTTCCGTAAGTTCTTCAAATTAGAAAACAATAAAAAACGATATATTTTTAGTACTTTCCATCATCAAGGGCAGGGGACATCTGGCCTGCAGGCCGTGTGAAGCCCATGAAACCATCCAGCCTGGTCCTGCCAAGGCCACTGCAGGCAGAACTGGAAATTCAATAAATCCATAGCCGGCTAAGCGGTAAGTCATCGTTCTGTGCGGCCCATGAATGCTGCTGTCAGCATCCACATGGCCCTTGGCAGAAGAAAGTTTCCCACCTCCATCCACGTTCAAGGCAGTGTTATTGTCAGGCCCTGCAATTGCAACCAGGACTCCCCGAAACATCTCACCTTCTCCTTCCTTGAAGTGTTTGATTTCTGCAGCGTGGATCGCAGCCGGGGATGCATTCCCACTCATGCCCTGGGAGGGGCTCTGCACTCGGGCACTGCAAAGTGAAAGTGTTTCCAGTTTTGTGAAAGAGCATTGTTTATTTGAAAGGCAGAATGAGAGAGAGAGAGGAAAGAGAGAGAGAGAGAGAATAGAGAGAGAGACAGAGAGACAGAGAGAATCTCCGCAGATTTACTCCCCATGTAGGAAACTGGATTGGAAGCAGAGCAGCCGCGTCTCCGATGTGAGACATGAGACACTAGCATTGCAAACTGCGGCTTGCGATGCTGGGCTGTAACACCAGCCCCTGGCTTTCCCGTATTGAGAGCACTTTACTTTTCTTCTGTTCATGCGTCTAAAGGACTATTATTTGATCACATATAAAAGATGGACATGACTGGGGAAAGTCTAATGTGAGCGTCTTTTGAAAGAATTTACTTATTACTCTTTCTTGAGAAATAATTACAGATTCATGCGAAGTTGCAAAGCTAGTGCAGGGAGAGGCAGATTCCTTCTTTCCGATGAAATGGGGGTACAAGAGCAAGACAACGGTTTTATCTTTTCTGAGCGTTTCCTAGAGAAATCGCAGAACGCGTCTCAGCTACACACACGCGTGCACCGGCAGATGCGATGCGCTTCCACACAGAGCATAGCTCTTTCATCTGAGAGCCTCAGCCCAGAGGCGCCTTCAATCAACAGCAACCCACGCCACGGAAGGGGGCCGGGAAGCCTCTCATTGTGAGGGCATTCCTCTTAGAACCAGGTCAAGCCCGGGAGGCTGGAGACCAACTAAGAATGATCTGAGGTCACAGCCAAGTTCTTTGTATCAAAGCCTCCACTATCAATGGCTAAATAAAACAATCTGATGGGCTGGATGAACATTTATATGATGCATAGATTCTTACCCATTATCCTTCCTTGTCACAGAGAAATAGACATAATGCTAACTAAGCAAAATAGCTCCTAAGAGCTTTCGGTCCTTAAATCCCATCAGAACATAAAGGACAGGCATAGCCTTCCCAGTCAGCTTGCATTTTGCCTGCATCCTCTTGAAGATGGGTACTCTGTGAATAGGAGATTTTTCATAGGCGGTGTTTTTAGAAGTGTAATGCATTAACAGAAGTAGTCAGGGCTGGTTTGCCTGGAGGCAATGGGATGGCCACAGCATGGTCAGCACACTTCCATGACGCTTCTGCCTCCAGAGGCCTTACCAGGCATCACCAGCCGAGCGCGGACTCATTTCCCACGGAGCCAGAGTGCCGTCATGCCATCAGGCTTCAGGCTGCAGCTACTGGCTGATCATGCCTGACGTCAGAAATGTATTCCACGGTGGGATCATTGAGTCGAACAGTCGTGGGACTGGTTGCAATTTTATTAGTGATCCTTTTAAAAATTTAATCCATTTTTATTTATTTGAAAGGAAGAGAGACAGAAGAAGTTAGAAGATGAGCTTCTGTCTGCTGGTTCACTCCCCAGATGCCTGCAGCAACCAAGGATGGGCCAGACTGAAGCCAGGAGCCAGGAACTTGATCCAGATCTCCGAGATGGGTGGCAGGGACTCAAGTACTTGAACCAGCACCTGCTGCCTCCCAGTGTGCACAATAAGAGAAAGCTAAAATTGGGAGCCTGGCCAGGACTCTAACCCAGGCATTCTAATCTGAAATGTGGAAGTCCCAAGAGGCATTCTTAACCACTGCACTGAACAGCCAGCAAGTCTTATTTGCAGATCTCACAATATTTGTTCAAAGCTGCATCCCTAGGACCTGGTGTCCTATAGCCGCTGTTCAATACAATTTCGTTGAATTCATGAATGAATAATTTTCTGTTTATTTTTTCTTATTAGCAACCAAAGGGTGATATCACAGGAAGAGAGGCCAGCTAGCTCTTTGAAACGAGTTTCCAGGACAGTAGCCACCAAGGGGTAACGTATAGTCTGACCCTCTACAATGGAGAGAGAATTCAATAGTTCTCAGCCTCCAGCGTCACTGTTCTCCCAGTCAGCAGGCTTAGCAATGTCTTGATCTGTTCCTCTGCTCCTGGATCTGTCTTCACAACAAATCTTATCTTCATCATTTCAATTGGCGACCTCTGCCTGCACTGAAATCGTATCACATAACATCTTTTTTTAAAAAAAAATTTTTTTTTTTGACAGGCAGAGTGGACAGTGAGAGAGAGAGACAGAGAGAAAGGTCTTCCTTTTTCTGTTGGTTCACCCTCCAATGGCTGCCACGGCTGGCACACTGCGGCTGGCACACTGCGCTGATCCGAAGGCAGGAGCCAGGTGCTTATCCTGGTCTCCCATGGGGTGCAGGGCCCAAGCACTTGGGACATCCTCCACTGAACTCCCTGGCCACAGCAGAAAGCTTGCCTGGAAGAGGGGCAACCGGGACAGAATCCGGCACCCGGGCCGGGACTAGAACCCAGTGTGCCGGCACCGCAGGCGGAGGATTAGCCTAGTGAGCCACGGCGCCGGCCTCACATAACATCTTAATTATTACGTTAGCATCTTTAATTCCCAATGGGCTTGATTTCTCCTTTGCTTAAAGCTTTTCTATGCAACAAAGATAAATATTACAAAAACAGGTTTGCTTTCTTATAAAAAGAATTTTAGGCACAGTAGAAAAGTTAGAACAAATAATTATGTAAAAAATAAAATTAAAATATCAATCTAAACCATCAATCACAAATGATGAGTTAGCAGGTTGATTTGTATTCCAAAAGCATTTTTCCCTTTCTAATATATTGTTTTTCTTTCACAGAAACCTATTCAGATTATGCATATTCCCTTATAACATACATTATCCGACTTAGGAAGATACATTATATTTCCTGTAATACATTGGCGTTAACATTATTTTCTGATTGATACTTCATCTTATAGATCTATTCCCTTGCTGATACTTTGACATATTGTACAGTAAGAGCACGGGGACAAATACTGTTATCACAACACAACAATGAGTAAATTGTCTGCTAGGTTCTTTAGACTAATTTAAGAGTATTTTTGTAATTTAGAAAGATAGAAAATTTAGTTTTTCACTATTTGTTGCCACACTGCCTGGCAGAGAAGTCATTTCTACTTAAACTTCCACGAGTGAAATACAAAGAACTGACAACTCAATAGATAGATTAAACAGGTTGGGCACAGCTGAAGAAGGAATTCATGTACCAGAAGATAAAAGTGAGGGAATTTTCCAGAACACAGAACACAAGGGAAAATAGAGAAAATATTGGAGAGGAGTTAAGACATCTGATAGAATAAAAAGGCGAAAATCTATCTAACAAGTTTGTCATGAGGCAATAGTGAAAATGTGGGAGGAGTGATATTCAAGATACAATTCTAAAAATTACCAGAAATAGTGAGTTCTTAACAAGCCGAAAAAAATCTCAAAAGAGTGAAAGAAAAAATATTTTAAATAAGCAGAGATAAAACATTTTATTGCCAATGGACTGAAAAAAAAACTAGATGGAATAGACTTGGCAACAGAAAACATAAATAAATGAAAAAAATAATGAAATCACTTATTCAAAGCTTTGAGAGAAACCAAATTTTCTGTTCAGTGAAATTATCATGGGGCAGGAGGCTGGGTGCAGCAGGTTGGCCACCTCTGGGGATGGCCACATCCTGTATCACAGTGCTGGTTTGCATTCCGGACACTCTGGGCTTCTGATCTAGCTCCCTGCTAATGCAGCTGACAGGATGTGGATGATGGTCTGGGTAGCTGGGTTCCCGACATCCATGTGGAAGCTCCAGGTAGAGTGCTGGGCTCCTGGCATTAGTGTGCCCCAGAGCTGGCTGCTGTGGGCATTCATGGAGTGAATTCAGCAGATAGACTGACTCTCTCCCTCCTCCCTTCTCTCTCTTCTTCCCTCCCTCCCTCCATCCCTCCCTCACTCTCCCCCCTTCTTCTCCCCCTCCTTCCCTCTCTTCCCCTCTCTCTTTTCTCACCCAGCTTTTCAGATAAATAAATAAATCTTAAAAAATTCTTCAGGCAAAAAGTAATTGTACTTCCTAAAGTTCTTTAACAATGGTTAAAAAAAAGTATCAAATGTTAATATTCCAGAAAAAAGTGATTCAGCCAAGAAAATTGGTATGCATGTGGGGAATTATAAATAAATACTTGTTGACTAAAACAATGATAATAATGTTGATTACTTTTTGTGGAATTGAAAAGCAGGGTGGAACTAAAATACAAGATAGTAACATTTAAAAAGGGAGAAAGATACTCAGAATTAAAGCTTTCAAAAGTTTTTAAGGGCCTGGTGTTGTGGTGCAGAGGATTAAGTGGCCACTTACAACCCCAGCATCCCATATGGGCACTGGTTCGAGTCTTGGCTGCTCCTTCCAGTCCAGCTCCCTGCTAATGCACCCGGGAAAGCAACAGAAGATGGCCCAAGTGCTTGGGACCCTGCCATTCGTGTGGGAGACCTGGATAGAGTTCCAGGCTCCTGCCTTTGGTTTGCCCAGCCCTGACCATTGTGGCCATTTGGGGAATGAACCAGAGGATGGAAGATCTGCTGTCTGTCTGTCTTTTCCTCTGTGTCTGTAACTCTGACTTTCAAATAAATAAAATCTTAAGGAACAGTTAAAAAATTATTTTCACATTATTTGAATGGCAGAGCCAGAGGAAGCTTTCATCCCTTGGTTGATTCCTCAAACACCTGAAACAACCCAGGCTGGGCCAGGCCAAATCCAGGGGTCTAGAACTCAGTGTCAGTCTCTCACATGGGTGGCAAGAATCCAAGTATTTGAGCCATCACTAGCTACCTCCCTGTGTGTGCATCAGCAGGAAGCTGTATTAGAAGGGGAGGAGCCAAGGCTCAAACCAGGCACTCCAGTATGGCATGTGGGCATTCCAATGGTGTCTTGCCCACTGTGCCAAACTCCTATCCCTGAGCTATTTTTTATTATTTATAAGGATGGTCAACATATTAAGTTAAATTGTGTTAATTCATGTAGACTGGTTAAAAATTGAAAGATAACTTTACAAGCAGAGAGAAGGGGCCAATGTTGTGGTAGAGCAGGTAAAGCTGCCCCCTGTGGTGCCGGCATCCCCTGTGGGCACCAGTTCGAGACCCAGCTGCTCCACTTCCAATCCAGCTCTCTCTAATGCACCTGAGGAATAGTGGAAGATGGCCCAGCTGCTTTGGCCCCTGTACCCATGTGGGAGATCTGGAAGAGGCCCCTGACTCTTGGCTTGTCTTGGCTCAGCTCTGGTCAGTGTGGCCATGTGGGGAGTGAGCCAGCAGATAGAGGACCCCTATCTCTCTAACTCTGACTTTCATATATATATATATATATATATACACATGCATGCATGCATACATACATACATACATATTTTTTAAAAAGTAGAGAGAAAAAGAATATAAGTGAAATGATGACTCCTCTAAAGTATATATATATGTGTGTGTATATTTAAAGAAACCATGCCCTGGAAAAAATTTAGATATGAATGTAAATAAATGAAATCTACAAAGTTTTCATTATAGCATTGTTTGAAGTTGTGAAAAAGCAGAGAATTAAGTGAATAAGCTTTGGTCTATTCATGAAATCAAATACACAATTAAGGTAAATAAATTCTAGCTACATATATAAACATGGCTAAATACTGGGAATATTGAGTGAAAATCAAGTTGTAACGAAAATGTAGAATATGACACTATTTTTCAGACATAATAGTGCTACACCCTACATGAACATATTGTATACAGAAAGTAAAGTGACATGAAAAATGATATATTTCCAATTTTAAAATACTAGTACCCTCTGAGAATTAATGAAAAACAATTGGTAGTGTGTTAGCTACATAAGATACCTTCTTTCAAAAAATCAGTTTGAAGGAAATATGATAGTATACAATGTGGTAGCTGCATAGATGTCTGATTTTTCTGTGTATTGCTTTGTTTCCTGTATATTTGAAACATTTTAGACTTATAAATAACATTTAAAATCTTTTTCATACTCAAACTACATTATAGCTAAGGTTTTTTTTTTTAAGTTTATTTCAAACACAGAATGACTCACACAGAGGGAGAGAAGAAGGAGGAGGAGGAAAAGAGGGAGGAGGAAGGGGGGAAGGGGGGAGGAGGAGGAAGAGGGGGAGGAGGAGAAGGGGGAAGGGGAGAAGGAGGAGAAGGAAGAGAAAGAAGAGAAGGGGAGGAAGAGAGAGATCTCCATCTGCTGGTTCACTCCCCAAGTGGACGGAAACCATCTGGGTCTCCCTAGTGTGAGGCAGGGACTCACATGCTTGAGTCGTCCTCTGCTGCTCCCCAGGTGCGTTAGCAGGGAGCTGGATTG